ACCCTTGTATGTAATCCTGCGACACAGCATAAAAGACAGGCCCTCATATTTCTGTTTTTCTTTGCTTTTACAATGAGTAATATGGATGACATGGAAGACTGTCACTAAGGATTTTTGAGTTACTACATGGGTGTGCATGCAGTTTGCTTTCTCATGTGGAATATTGATTACATTTTAAGTCCAAAAAGCAGTTTTTTACTTTAGCTGTTAAGTAGTACCAGTATGTGAGCCTGGAGTTCTTGCCAACTCTTACCAGTTCTTAACAGCTTTGAGTTTCTGAAGCAGCCAGGCTGTAGAAAGCACAGTGTATCTGTACCTTTCCACAGGTTATATTTGTTTTATTTCTGAACTGATTTAAGAGAAGATAGGGTATCCATGCTGGAATCTGTATTTGCTTGTTCCCATGAGGAGATGGTGATCACAGCCCAGCTCTCTGTTTCCAAAGCTGAATTCAGCTTGCCCTGGAGAGTTGGTAAACATACCTCCTGTGCTTCCCTAAGCTCCAGGCAGATAGACCCAGGTCTTACCAGAGTGAGAGGGGAGAATAGTGACAGGCTGCCTGTACACCATGTGCTTATCTCTTTCTAATTAGAAGCATTGAGATGAGCTGGAGGCTGTCCTATCTCTCTTTAGCATGTGAACATTTGATGATGTTGTTTATAGACTTCTAGGGCTGTCAGAGTTGTGCCTCTGTGTGTGAACCAAATGCTGGAACAAAAAGCAATCAGTCAGGAGTGGGAAGGCAAAGAGAGAGAGGGTGGAAAGTGGTGGGGGGCAGGGGAGACTGACAGAAGTTGAAGGAGTTTAAAGTGAGAGTAATGAAAGTGGGTTTTGTGGAGGAGAAGATAGTTATGAATTGAAAAAAAAATTAGGAAAGGAAAACAGTGAAACACCACGCCCTTCCGTGCTCTTCTTAGAAGAGCAAATGAATAAACATATTAGTTACAATTCTGTAACTTGTGTTTCCAATCACTGGCACTTGTATATGCTTAGGGTATGTTGGTGGGTATCTGTAAACCTGCACAAAGTCTGCTGTCGGATTCTGAGGTTAGCAGAAAAGCAAAGGTTTGGTGCCAGAGAAAGAGAAGCCAGTTCCCTTTCTAAATAGTTCAGAACCATGTTTACCACAGTTGATACTGGTTCTGAAAGTCAGTACAACACTGTCTCAGGAAACTGTGACAACTGGGTTTGTGATCAGGTACCAGCTACCCTTTAACCTAAAATCCTCACGGAGGAGGACAGCACATTTTGATTAAAAACTACTAAGTGTTTGCTTAGAGATTCAGTGTGTTTTCACCACCACCTTCAGGAGACTAGTAAATGGTAATAATTGTCATTTGTTGTAAATTATCATGACTGGGACAAGGAATTTGAAACTCTTGAGGTTGTGTCACTGCAGACCTCCTGTCCATGATGGTTGGTGGGTCCTGCTGCAAAAGAAACTCTGTCTTGGCGAAATTTGTAGATTGCTTTCCTCATCTTTTCTGAGTGCATAGTAGTAAAATCACCAAGTATCTTGTAAAACTGTTAAGGGATCTGTGATGGTGTTGCTCTGAATTTCTTGGGAACTTCAGGCTGTATTTGAAAACTTAAAAATGCATTCTCGGGGGAGCAGGTGAGTTGCTGAGATTTTTACTTCTTTTTTTTTTTTTTTTTTTTTTTTTTTTTTTTTTTCCCAGGTTGTCAGTATACTTTCTTATTCACAATCTGTCTGGGTTGTTATTGCCATGTTTAGATGCTTTGGACTATATCATCCCTGGACAGTTTGAAAGACGAAATGTTATCTTGATGGTTCCATTATCTTGGATTTTATGAGAAGCTTTGTTTCCAGACACACATGCAAAACTCCTTATATCCCTATTTAATTTTTACTTACTCTATTTCACAGTCCAATCTGAATCTGGTTGTGCCAACGTTGTGTCTGCAGCTCCCTGCCTGGCGGAGCCACAGCAATATGAAGTACAATTTGGACGATTACGCAATTTTCTCACAGGTAAATATCACGAAGCAAGGAAGAGGAAAGTAGCTGAATTGTTATTGTCATTTCAATGAGTAAAGGACAGTAAAATTCAAAATCATGTCTGTAACAATCTTTTGATTTCTAGTTTTGAGATTTCAGTTACTACAATTAGAAATATTTAATTTTTCTTTTTTATTGTTGTTTGAATGCTGAGTACCTTTGGCTTTTGTAGCTAGTTGACTGTTTGCCCTTTCTTGGTCAAGCATTTGGCCTTTGTAGATCTTCTCCTTCTAGCCAAGAGCATACATATACAGGACAAGAAGGAAGATTAGAGTGCTTAATGAGAAAGGCAAGTAGCTTAGAAATGAGTATAGTTCTCTTCTAGTATAGAGTTTTTAATTTTATTCATAATTGGCTTATTTTTATGTTGGTCCAGGTTTTTTAAGGGAGAATTTGTTCCCCTGAATTTATCTGTACTGGCTTTGAGACTGGAGTACTGTGTCTGTACTGGAGTATCTGTATTGAGACTGGAGTATCTGTACTGCTTTGAGACTGGATGACAGAAAGTAAAAAAATTCTAATTCTGTAGTATGGTGCAGAAGACAATAATGATTTTTCTTTTTTTTTAAAAAAAATTTAAAAGTAATTTTTTAAAAAGGTACTCCTGGGAATGTCCTTATTTCTTTGAGTCCCAAATGTGAGAAGAACACAGGTAGGATTTTTAGAGAATAGTACCAAGGAAAGTGAGGTTGCCACTCCTTCCACCTTTGAGCACATCTAGCTCATCCCTACGTGTCCAGTGTAGAGATTTGATCCCAGTGTGCATAACAAGAGGATTAATATTCCTAATAGTTGTTGAAGGGAAAGGTAAGGGGACAGGCAGGAAGGCAGTGGCAGAAAATACTGAATTCTCAGCCTTGCCACTTATAGCAGTTCAACACCATTGCACTTTAGTATTGGAGATAAATCCTTATGGTTTAGTAGATTTTTGGGAGGTGTGATTGCTGTGTTCATTGGCTTAAATACTGCTGGGGGAAGTGCTAGGCATGGTTTTGGCGTTCAGGTTGGCTGTTTTGTCTTTTTTGTCCCTCTTACTCAGTTTTGATTTCTTACACACGTGAACTGCCCCTGTTTCTGCAAGGGAGTAACTTGCCAGCCAGCCACAAGGACACTTCCCATTCCTGTGATGCCTGCCCACAGGGGCCCTGAGGATCGGGCAGGGGACTAGAATCGCTGAATAATTTAGGAATTACTCTAGAGATCTGTAGTTCAACCAGCTGCTCAAAGCAGTACAAGATTAGAGGTTGATCAGATTGCTCAGGGCCTTGTCCAGCCAGGTTTTGAAAATGAAAAAGTGTGGAGATTGCTCTGCCCCTCTGGGCCCCAGCTGCAGGGCTGAGCGATTTGGTGAGAATTTCCCTCACAGCAGCTCGCCTGTTGTCCTTTCACTGAGCACCTCTGAGAAGAGGCTGGCTCCTTTTCCTCCATAAAGTCCCACTGGGTACTGAAGGCAGCTGTTAGATACCCCCTTATTCTTCACCAGGCTAGACAGACCCAGCTCCTGTAACCTCTCTTCATATGCTCCTGGGGAACGTTTTCTTTGTTCTCGTTTCTGCCAACTTCCCATCTCTTCCCTTTTTCCCCTGCTGCAGAGTGAGGTCCTTCCCCTCGTTGCATTTCTGGACTAGAGCACCAGCAGAGACACGAGCATGTGCTGGCTGCTTAGAACTTTTACTGCATACAGACCACTGGTTTCACTGGTTTTGGCCCAGTTTCAGTGGGACAGAAAAGAGAATGGTGCCTAAGGATGCAAATATGTATGTACACACTGTGCACCACACACACACTAGTTACTCATATAGAAATGGGAGAGAGGCACAGAATGGATCGGAGAAATTCTGGAAGAATGCTTAACAGAAGATGAAAAATAACCTAATGGGGGGGAGGGGGTAAGAATATGCATTGGTAAGTGGCAGGAGGAAAGAACAAGTTGAAAAGAAGCAATGCTGTTTGAGGATCAGCAGTGCCTATTTTGTTCCAGTAACTTGGCCCGTTTGGTCCCCTGGTAACTCATTCTTGTGGCCCTAAGCTGTGCTGCCATAGTTAGTGTTCTGCAGCAGGACTCTGCGCTTTACAGCTCCCTGCAGCTGGCTGACCGTGGGAGGGAAACAGCCCCAAGAAGCTGGTGAAGGAGGGGTGGAGCTGTTGCACAGATTAGTCTCTGCAAGGTACAGCACAGCCTAATCAGGAGTTTGTTACACTGTGTGCTAGGAATTACTGCTGGGATTTGCCTTGGCAGAGAGAGAGAGAGAGAGAGAGCACGAAAGCGTGCACATGAGCAGGAACAGAAATAAAACAAGAGCACAGCATATTGCAGGACATTTTGGAAACTGTAGCCTCCTTTCCCCTGGGGACAAGTCAGTTCCAGCCGACAGGGTTGAAGCTGAGAGGAAAAAAAAGTCACCAAAGTTCAGGCCCACACAAGCTGTATTAATAATTTTGCCTTAAATGTGTTAAATGCTATTTTAAATATAACAAGTAAATTTTAAAGTACATTTATTGCAATAAACAGAGGGCATAGTTTTTCTTTTTAAATACATTGGGGAAAAATTCAGTTGTCGTGTAGTTTGAGGTGGTATTTTAATAGCTGGCCCACGCCTAAAAAGGGTTTTGAAATCTCTGCGTTTTGTTCTGACAACATAACCTCACTGGCTTATCAGGCATTGGAAGGGGTTGCCCAGGGCAGTGGTGGCGGCCCATCCCTGGAGGTATTTAAGAGTCGTGTAGACACAGTGCGGAGGTACATGGTTTAGTCGGGGATTTGTCAGTGTGAGGTTAGCGATTGGACTCGCTAACCAGGTCTTTTCCAATCTAGAGAATTCTGTAATTCTGTGACTTGAAAAAATCTCTCTTAGGATCCGTGATAGGTACCACGTATCCCCTTTAGGTGACAGAAGAGGTTCGCTTAGATGTGCCAACACAAGTCTCCTCTTGCTTACACTCTGATGCCGCTGTCAAGGCTTTTTGCAGTAATTGACCTTGCTCTGTTTTATTGCCAGTAGAAAGTGGATTGAGAAATCATTCTAAGTTTGTTGCTGTTTTTTTATATAGATTCAGATTCTCAGCACAGCCATGAAGTGATGCCTCTTCTGTATCCCCTCTTCGTCTACCTCCATCTGAACATGGTCCAGAATGGCCTAAAAAGCACAGTGGACAGTTTTTACAGCCGCTTCCATGGCATGTTCTTGCAGAATGCCAGCCAGAAGGATATCATTGAGCAGTTGCAGACTACCATGACTATTCAAGATATCCTGTCCAACTTGAAGCTCCGGGCTTTTCTGGACAACAAGTACGTCATCCGCCTTCAAGAGGACAGCTACAACTACCTTCTTCGCTACCTCCAAAGTGACAACAACAATGCCCTGTGCAAAGTCCTGACCTTGCACATACACTTGGATGTGCAGCCTGCCAAGAGGACTGACTACCAGCTCTACGCTGGTGGGAGCTCCTCGCGCAACGAGAGCAATGGCCTGGAGCCCAGCGACGTGCCAGCTTCCATTCTGCAGAATGAGGCAGCTCTGGATTTACTGCAGGACAGCATTAAACGTGTCAAGGACGGGCCCCCTTCCTTAACGACCATCTGTTTCTATGCCTTCTATAACACAGAGCAGTTGCTGAACACTGCAGAGATTTCACCAAATAGCAAGCTGCTCGCTGCTGGCTTCGATAATTCGTGTGTGAAGCTGTGGAGCCTGCGCTCCAGGAAGTTAAAATCTGAGCCCCATCTCGTTGATGTGTCCCGCATTCGCCTGGCTTGTGACATCCTGGATGAGGAGGTCTGGATATCCTTTCTTTCCCCCACTCCCTTCTGCCAAGTTATTTTGAGCATGCATTATGGAGTATATAGTAATGTCTTTGGGGACTGTGCGGCTGTTCCACAACCTGTCTGCCTTGACACACTTATTTTGTAGCCTGCTCTCGTCCTTGTTCTTTCCCACAGTGGCTGTAAATGCTGCACTGAGGTGCCATGAGTTTGTGCTTGGGTCATAGTTTGCTAGTCCTAGGTGCTGATCTCCTTCCTCCAGCTTTCCTTGAACAGATAACAGTACACGGGCAGCCCAGTAAGGAGAGGTGACTAGAGAAGGCTCCCTTCTCTGAGGAGCATGGAGACTTCTTATGGATGGGAAGATGAAACAAGGAGATGTGGACAGTAAAAACACACTGTGGTGAATGAAAACTAGAAGGAAGGTGGCTTAGAACAAACAGTCAGAAGGGTGGAGAGATGGGGAGAGGACGCAGGAAGAGGAAAATAAAGACAAAGTAAGGAAGGAGCCAAAGGAGGCTGGTCTGGGACCTCAGGAAGAGGGAAGGATGCCTAAGTGCTGAGCTGTATTTAAGGAATCACCTTAACCAGAGGTGAAGAGTTAGCATGGAAAAATTATGCAAAATGTCTCTGTTAAGGAATCTGCAGTGTAGAAATTTCAGAGGCTTTGCACTCTGGAGTGCAGGAGACAAGGACAGGGATGTGTGTGCCTTCACACGCCAGGCTAGATAGCATCTTCTAGTTTACTTTTTTTTTTTTTTTCCCCTTCTAGTCACACCCTTCCTCCCCAGCCTGCCACAGCTGCCCACGTAGCATCTTCTATCTGGTATAGAGATCAGAATTTGTGACTCTTACTTTGTTTAATCACTCCCTTCTTGAAGGGGCCGGGGGAAGCCTCATTTGTTCTTCTGTTTAAGCATTTAGTAGGAGAAACATCGCTTTTTCCACTGTTTTTTCTTCATCTCATAAAAAATACCTAGTGGCACGGTTCTGTTTATTTTGGAAGAGTGCAGAGAGCTTTCTGTACACAGAGATCTGTGGTTAGGGATTGTTTTGTTAGTCAGCTTGAGAACTAGAGGCAGGCATCCAGGTGAGATAGCACAGCAGCATGCTCACTGCTTCCCAGGTTAACCCCTTCTGCCGAGTGAGCAGGTGAGTGGGTCAGACTAGCCCAAGATGGAGCTATGGGCTTGTTTTCATTATAAGCTGCAAGAGTTCATAGGACATGTGACTGTGTGTATTGCCTGTCGTGGAAACCAAATGTCAATAACCTGTGAGAGGGGAGAAGTTCTCTGGGAAATCAGTAGTTCACCTCCTTTGGCTCCAGACTGTGGAACAGTGAGATACTGCCAGGTTATCAGGAGTGTGTGCTAGCTTTTTTTTGGCACGTGGGCACATACTTTCATATCGTGAGTGTATCACGAAACTGCTGTGGAAGCTTGTGTAAAAATGGCTCTCGTTGGCTATTTAATATTTTGCACATCCTGCAGTATTTATGCACAGGTCTAAAACCAAAAACTGGTCAAAGACCAGCACAGATCAAAGTCATCATTGCCTTGAATAACTTCATTATTGACAAAACAAATAATGACCTGACCAGGAGTTTAAAGTTACCAGCCTAAATGCGCTGCTGGTCGTGTGTCCCAAATGCAAAGGAAAGACTATGGATTACAACAGAAGTAAATCCCGGTATCTGGGAGCCCTCAGTGAAGAAACACGGGCACGTGCGAGGTCGCAGGTGGGAGCAGACCAGCTCCTGCTTGGGTACCTCAGGAGTGGAAGCCACAGGTACCAAGACAGACCAAACAAGACCACCCTGACTGGCTGCAGTCATGGCTAATGCAGCTCAGTGTAGAACAGGGGCTGCGTTTCAGACTGTCACTGAAGTGTGATCAGCAACAATTCACAGCCATAAATCTGATGAAAACTTTGACAAAGAACAAAAATTCTGAATGTGCTTTGACATTACTTCAGTGAGTTCTACAGAATAACTTGAGAGGATGTTAAACTTGGCTGAGTTATGTAAGGTTTCTTTATTTTGTTTGTTTTGGTTGATTTCTCTATTGTGTAATTAGCTTTGGATACTGTTTTTACATAGTAGTGCCTGAAATAATTAATCTTCAGCTTGGTTTCTGATTTGCTGCAAGCAAATAGATGCTTCTGTTTATGAAAATACAGAGGTCTGAAAGTGTGTGTTTCCACAGATGGGTGGCATCTTCCCTTTTGACATCTTAAGAGCAGCGCAGGATGAGAGAGATGACGACACCCAGGGAAGCCTGTTGCTAGTTAGAAGAAAGGAGGAGGCGAGGTGGTTTTTTGGTTTGGTTTTTTTTTGAGGTTATCATTGTTGCTTTTTGAGACTCACTCGTTCCCTTGAGGCTTACGCTGGGTGGAAGATCAAAATAATTTTTGTCAGCTAGATAATGTTTGCTGCTCACAAGGTTAGATGCCTTGGCAGTACATTTTTCTGGGTCCAGATGACTGTCATGCAAAATCCATTACGAATTTAAGTAATAGCTGAGGAGTTGGGCAGTTTGTCCATAGGTCTATCATTTGGAAGGTATCCTGTGTAAGAAAACATGCCAACATTTTTATTCTTTTCAGTTTTTTAATAATACAATTTTTGGGAGTCTTGTACTTGCTTAAGAAGGTTTCCTGTTCACTGTTGAAGAGTAATTTTTTTTTTAGCTTGTTTTAGTAGTGTTGGTAGGTTTTTCAGTTCTATTCCTTAAAATCTGTTTCGATAGTTCTTTTCAAAATGGGATAGTAAAAATAATAAAAGGTAGCTTTTTAGCGTGTGGTGTGTAGGTTATTGATTAAAAGAGGTTTATATAACTTAAATTTCGTGTCTATTCCAAGGAAATGTAAACTGTTCATGCTAACCTGCAGCAGCAGCCACTTCAGAAGGTGCTAATGGATATCTGGGTAGTGCGCAGTGGTATGTTATATCCAGGAAAAATACTCAGTGTGTGAAATTGGAATCCTGAAAAAATACTGTGAAGACGGATTCCTCACCTCCCTGCTGATTTATAACACAGGTTGCAGCCTTTCTATAGCTGCTGTAAATGCTAACCTACATGGTAGTAGCTGTGGGATGCAAGGAAGGGAGTGCTTCATCTGACAAAGAAATGAAGCTTGGTCCTGGAAGGCAGTTAGGTAGTGGCTGCACTTTGCTAACAATCTGGTCAGCAGACTAACTCGGATAGGGAGGAAATGGAGAAATTTCATGAGGTATACCACTTTTGGTGAGCTGTAACAGCAGCGTGCCGTTGTTATGCTAAGTGGGTGTCAAACAGAAGTAAAAGAGAAGATTTGCTACCTGTGACTGTATAGGAGGGTAGTTTTGAATGCTTCAGTAGGCATTTTCAAATAAGCTGCTACTGTAATACAAGAGAAGAAGAGTAGGTGCTTGTAAAGCAAAATAATATGTGCTTGCAGACAGCCCGAGTAGCCCTCTATGAATTTGAGGGCATAAAATCAAGTACCTGGACGTGCAGAATTTACAAAAACTAAAGTACAATACAGGTAACTTGAATGGGCTTCCACTGGTAACTTGTCAGGAATCTTATGGTCATAATTAATGTGCTGCAGGTATCAGCCTCTCTCCTTTAATGTGGTAACATAGCCTAGAGATGCTGTGGATTCCAGCAAGCAATGCTCTATCCCAGGTAGAAAAAGCAATTTGAATAAGAATGGGGCTTTGCATGCTAGAGCCTGCAGTTTCTCTCTGCCTCACCTCCATAGTAGAGATGAAGTTGGCTCCCAGCCAGATCATAAAACTCCCATGGGCACCGAGTACTCTGAAGAGAATTAGCATTGCTAAACACGGCTTGCTGCCTACCACTTAAATGTGCAGCTGAGATGGGGAAAGGCAGTGGGCTAGCTAACCCTCTGACATGAGATTTGAAATGACCAGAGGAGAAGGGCTTTCAGGGCTATTGCAAAGTCTGGAGCAAAACCATCTGTGGGTCCTGAGGTCAGAGGGGTGGGAGATGTCGTGTCAGCCAAGAGAGCCGCTCACCACTCACTGACTGCGCTGACTGCTGGTCATCAGCAAGTCCAGCAGCCCTGGGGAACTGGGTTTCCTCTCAGGGCAGGAAGTGCTCCTTCAGCAGTAAACAGGCCAGTTTGCAATGATAAAAGTTAAAGGAGCTGCTCACAAACAAAAGAGTGTTGTGTTGAATTTGATGTGCAGAGATTGTCCGTGGATGAGTGTTACTGATCCAGTACTGAGGAAGTGTCTGCCTGACCCCCCTGAGGAAGGGTGGTCTCAGGCTACTACACAGGTGCACCCCAAGCCGTGGTTGTCTTGTACCATCAGTGAGACCCTAGCTTGTCAGGCAAGGACACTCTTTGGAGTTGAGATTTGTTGGAACTTGTGCAGTCTGTAGCCTTTGAGTGTTGAGAGGTGCTACTTGAGTAGACTTTCAGACACTCTTACCCTCCATTGGGAGATTCCATTAGCACAGCTCACTGAACAGTCTTTAAACGTGGAAGCCTTTACTTGTTGACTGTCTGCCCTGGTACTTGAATTGGAGAATTAAGGATAAAAAGGCTTCCAGTGACATCCTTTTTGTGATTATTCATCTTCTCCTAACCTAGAATAGATCCTTTGACCTAAATAAGCTGCATACATTTGCTGCTCTTGAAGGGTGAGTTTGTGAAAGAATTTGGATGAAGCATGCATGGAGAAATAGATGTTACAGCATTACTGAGTTTCTGTTCACACGTGGGACTAGGAAGGAATGTCCAGCAGACAGCTTGTCAAATATGCTTTGTCTTTCCATCTCCTGCTTTTTGTTCAAGACATCTGTGTGTGTTTTTCTCTGTTGTGAGATTCACTTCCAATAATGACCACACCAAAAGAGCAGATGCCAAGATCTGTTTCAACATCTTAGCCAAAAGTTTAGTAGAGAGCGGATAGGGAATAAGCATCTGTTTTTAGCAAGTGGAAAAATGTCATTAAATATTTCTTTTTTTCCCCCTATTTGCATACAGTCCCGGGTTAAGGTGCCTTCTGGAGTGAGCATGAGGCTACCCAAAATGAAGATAAAACCTTTACATAAAGTCTTACCTCGTCATCTCTTTCAGCATTAACTTAGACAAAGCAAATGCGCTGGCAGTGTTTTTGTCTGCGTTGCACAGAATGCGCCAGGTCTAAAATAACTTCTGTATTAACACCCGCCTGTTTTCCTCATGGTGGTTCCTGTGTTTGTTGAACAGATAAACAAGCTTTCCTTTCTTGTTTTTTTTTTCTCCTCCCAAACTAGGAGGAAGAGGATGAGAGCGCAGGCACAGAAATGAAGATCCTGAGAGGACACTGCGGACCTGTGTATAGCACGAGGTTCCTTTCAGACAGTTCGGGACTCTTGTCTTGTTCCGAGGACATGTCCATCAGATACTGGGACCTCGGAAGTTTTACAAACACTGTGTTGTACCAAGGACATGCCTATCCTGTCTGGGATTTGGACATTAGCCCCTGCAGCCTGTACTTTGCCAGCGGTTCCCACGATCGCACTGCAAGGCTCTGGTCCTTTGATCGGACGTACCCGCTGCGAATATACGCGGGCCATTTGGCGGACGTAGACTGTGTCAAGTTCCACCCCAATTCCAACTACTTAGCGACGGGCTCCACAGACAAAACTGTGCGCTTGTGGAGCACTCAGCAAGGCAACTCGGTGCGTCTTTTCACCGGGCACCGCGGCCCCGTGCTGGCGCTCGCCTTTTCTCCCAACGGTAAGTACTTGGCCTCAGCAGGTGAAGACCAGCGGCTGAAGCTGTGGGACTTGGCGTCAGGAACTCTTTACAAAGAGCTGAGGGGGCACACGGACAACATAACCAGCCTTACTTTCAGTCCCGACAGCAGCCTAATTGCTTCGGCGTCGATGGACAATTCGGTCCGGGTCTGGGACATTCGGAACACTTACTGCAACGCCCCTGCAGATGGGTCTTCCAGTGAACTGGTTGGTGTCTATACCGGACAGATGAATAATGTACTGAGCGTACAGTTTATGGCCTGTAATCTTCTTCTAGTGACTGGAATTGCACAAGAAAATCAGGAACATTAACTTTTTTGTTGTTGTTGTTTTGGTTTTTTTTCCTTAGGGAAGTGGGTGGGTGCATTGAATGCCAGAGTCCACTGCAAGCTGAGATTACTGACTGTGAAACACTTTTTTTTCTTCCTCTGCCCCCTTGAAAGGCATGTTCAGAGTGATGCAAATGCTTTAAATTGTCTTGGCCACAAAAAGGCCTGTGCTGTTGAACGGAATGAGGAAAAAAGGAGTGATGCAAACATGTATACATTCTAATTCTGTACTTGTAGGGATGGGGAAAAGGGGAGGAAATCCAGTAGCTTGGGGAAGCCGAAAGCCTGGTCCAGACAAGTGAAACTGCCAACCAGATAAGCTGCTGACCTGCACTTAAATATCCTGCATTGATTGATGGGCACATCTTACCTACTGTTAACTGAGGCTTGAGTGTGTGGAGAACTACTGGCCCAGTGCTTTTTTTGTTTTGCTTTTGTTTTCCTGATATTGCAGAGGACCAGCATTTTAAGACCCTTCTATTAAAAGAAGTTTATGTATTCTCTACAGTGATAGTGGTCCTAAATATTGCAGCTCCCTATAGCACTTCTGGAATATTTTGGACTGGCTAAGTAGAAAATACCATCTTTCTTTTTAAGAAGGGAATCAAAATCTGACCTCAGTTGGGGCCCATCTCTGCATTGTCATTTGGGTTTGGATCCTGGTACTAGCTGTGATATTTGTATTTATGTTCCATTAATTAGGAATCTTTCTGAATGTGGTTGCACTGTGTTTTGAGGATGGGAGGACAGTGGGGGTAGAGTGGTGTCTTTAAGGGTAATAAACAACTTGCCTTGTCTGGAGGGAGGGCACAACAGGACTGAAGTGGCTAAGTTTGGACTCCTCATGGAAACAGGGCATGTCAGTCCACCACTGCACCTCACAGAAATATTTCCCTAAATGGAAGTTGGCAGTCTAGAGAGAGGGGGAGATGGGGAGAGAAACATACGAAGTGACATGGGAAAAAATAGTATTACTAAATTATTGTGCATACACAGAGGCAGCTCTGCCAGTGTTGGATTTTTCTCAAAATGTTGCAATATCAGTTTCATGAACACTTTGTGAGATAAATCATCAGCATTTACAACAAGGATCTGCAGAAAAGGCACGTTCTAGTTTGTCATTTGGAGAGATTAAATATTTCTGCTTTCTGGAAAGAGTTATTTTGTATTTTGTTTTCTATTAAAAGCATTTAGCTTAAAAAAAATAAAAATAAAAAATTGTTTGGTTCCTTTCTGGGAAACTCGCTCTGACTTGCATGGGAAGGAGAGGGCAGGAGCATGCTTCTGCACTGCTCGAGCCAGAGCCTGCTTGGCACTTGGAGGCTGAATCTGGTGGTCTCACTCACTTGATGGATGCTGTTTTGATATCCCCGTACTTTCTTTCTCAGAGCTGACTTCGCAGGTCACGGAGTCGGATATTGACCAAGCTTTGTAGGTCAGCTGAAATGCATGTGTAGGATCTAGGTACCTCCTGAGGTTGACACTGCCCCAGAAGGCCTCATTCTGTAGCGCTGCATGACCTCTGCTTTGTGGTTTGATATTCTAAAATGCCTCTTTCAAGGAAAGGCACAATCTTAACGTCTTCTAGACAGGCTGCTGGTATTAAATGATAATTCTCTTCAGTTTCCCTCAGACCTTCTGGACTTTCATAAGGGAATTCTCTTGAGAACACCCGAGCAATCTAAGAGTTTAGATGACAGCTCACAATTGCCCTTTTTTTTTTTTTTTTTTTTTTTGTCTGCTTAGGTTGGTAAATGACCAAAACCTTTTATCAGAAAAGTGTTTTGACCTTTCTGAGATTAGTAACAGTGTGTGCTGCAGCTCAGCTCTGCGAGTACCAGAAACCCCTCTGTACACTTTGAGTTGAATAGCACTGCTAATCTGGTGGCTGGATATCAGACTTGCTTAGAGAAAGGGGGCATGTAGACAGCGATCCTTCCACAGTTTACATGCTCTTGTCTTCTCACAGTTACTATTTGTTAGTTTGGGGGTTGTTGGGATTTTTGTTTGGTTTTTTTTCTTTAGTAGACCTCCACAGCTGCAGGCTGTGTACCTGCAATAGCTACTGATGGATTTAGTTTCCATTAATTTTGTCTCCTCCCTTTTATTAATCAGCTATATACTTGTAGCTTCCACAGTCTGCTGCAGCAACAAGTTCTACACCTCTTGAATTCATAAAGGCAATGAACAGCAAAACACCTTTTCAAAAGGTGTCAGGTACTCCAGGCCAGAGCAAATGCAGACATAGCTGAGGTACAAGTCCATGCTTAGTCACTGAATAGTGATGAAAGGAAAGGGTATTTGCTCTAAGAAACAAACTGCTATGCTCATTCACAAGTCTGTGTTAAAGTTGCCCTTCCCACTTTTAACACTGGCACCTCCTGAGCAGTGTGCTGCCACGCTCTTCACTTTCAATGTCTTAACTTCCCAAACCGTGAAGTTCATCCTATTCCTCCCCATTCTGGTTGCCCTGTGAAAAAGCTGTCTCTTACCAGTGTCTTAAGTCTAAAAACATTTTATAGAAATTATATTTCCATTAACAGATTCTTCAAATTTGCCAAGAAAAATAAAAAGGACTTCAGGCCATTTTGCTAACCTTGTTTAAACTGTGGCTGACTGTTTGTTAGTCTTCCAGGCTCAGTGGGTGCTTCAGCGGAGTCCCGAAATGGCCTTCCTTCTGAGTGGTGTCTAGTTGCTTGTGGTGAGCCAGGCTCTAAAACTGTACCATTACAAGACACCAATGTGACAGTTAAATTAACTGCCTGGATGTTCCCTGCCAAAGATTATCCTGTCATGCTGCATGTTAGCTATAGGGATTTTTTTAAAAAGTACTGGATAGGAGCCCAAACTGACTGAAATAACTCAACAGTGCTCACCATGCTCAGTGTATTCCAAGTACAAAATACTGGTAAAATTTTTCTCCGGACTGGTAATCTTTTTTAACAATTTTAAACATGCATCTGGCATTCTGTTTCCTGGACACTGCTATACAACAGCACTGAGCAGCAGTTATACAGAGAAGGTGGTAGATTCGCTCTTGAGTCCCTGGTTTGAGACAAGGCATTATCCAGTGTGTCTGTCATCCTGCAGAAATGTTCTCTCAGGACAGTGAAATTCTTGAACAAGGCAGCTGTGGAAGCTGTTTCTATGACTTGATATCATAGGTGTTACTCTGTAACTAAAACATGCTGCATCCTCTTTTCAAACAGGAGAAAGGATTGGCTGCATTAAGCTGAGGGTTACACAAGGAAGAAGACTTCAGAGCCGTGCTTGCTTTTTGAGTAGCCCTGCTTTCCTACATAATCCAAATCTTTGCAGTTCCATTTAGGATAACATTGTCTTCTATTTGCATAAGCTTGTGATCTGCAGTGAAGTCATGATCTTCCACTTATGACAAGCCTGATAACAAGAATATTTTAGCATATGCAGCCAGGGGATTAGCCAAGAACAGGAGTTGATGCTGTTTGGTGCTGTACAAGCATATCAGTTAGCACATGGACAGGGCTTCTCTGACCCTGCCCAAGAACAGGGGGAAGAAATCCACTTGGAATCCCTCTACCCCCCTATCGAAGAGAGAGGGTGTACCAGTACCATTAACCCAGCTCTGAAGAATGGGATGGCAGGTGGCACAGAAGCGATGAGTGTCAGGGACTAGGACTGTGATGGTGTCCACTTTGACTTCTTTGCTGTCACTTCTTCCCCCCACCCAGTAGTGATGCTGCTACACATCGTGTAACACCACCAACTCCAGCAGCTTTGGTAGGATAGCAGGGCTGGTCAGGCAGCTTGTTGAAATAATCAAGCTGCATTCTTTGCTCATAAATTGCTTGTAAATATTTCCTTAATAAAGAATGTTTGGTTTTGGTGTTTTGTTTTGCATTTTTTGGTTTTGGGGTTCGTTTTTTTTTCCCTGTGGCTTAAAACTGTTTAACGGGTCGGCTGTAACATACTGAACTGCCTGTTTCCACCTGAGAGAAGCCTTTGATCTTGTGATATTCTTTAGGATATTCAGGGAATATCCTGAACCCCCTTCCCCTAATTTGGAAGATGCTACATCAGACTCTACTCTGTGTTCTACGGTTAGATAAGCAGGCTGCCTAGACAGAAGCAGTGAGTGCGATGGCTCTGTTTGGTGGCACAGCAAGGCTCTTGCTGAAGCATCCAAAGGCTGGGTTGCACAGGAGGTTCCTCAAATCAATGGATGGAGGAGAAGTAGGTGGACGTTAAGGGAAACAAGGCCTCTAGATAACAAACCACTCTTGCCAGAAGCAAGATCCATTTTCTTCATCTTTGGACAGCAGTGATAGTACCTGGGTGTTGGGTTTGTTGGGGGG